GTTCGCGGGCGGTTAGAACACTCGCGGGGAAGTGATTGAACGTGTAATAATAATAAAAAATGCCAACAATATGGGGGAGAAGATAATACTCAAGTTTAGTGTAGTAATGTATTGGATTCCAATCCTTCTTCAGGCACAAGGAGGGAGTATTTATACCAAAGATGGAAATATGAGAGTCGTTGGATTAGGAGACACGTGTTGCTAGATCTCTAGAACTGGTCCCATCCCAGGTGTCATTCTGTCCATCCATAGGCTGGCCAGTGTTCACGAAAATAAGTTCGCTTTATAAATCACCGCAAGTATACGGTTCGTTGACAAGTAATACAGTGGAAATTGTAAAATTTCGAGTATCGTTCCCACGAGGATTGATCTAACCTAATTTCTATTATTGTAACCTTAACCGAAACTATAAAACTCAAATTGGTAGTTTTTGTGATTTTAATATGAAATTGTAAATAAAATGCAAATTAAACTAGAATTGCGATGTAATTGTAAAACAATGGTTGAATGCAAAGTTTGAGAAAATTAATATATGAAAAAGCGTACTAGGATCCCGAATCACCAAGCAAAGTTCACTCTTAACCCCTATCTCACAATTTGACAACACGATGAATCGTTTGAAGAATCAATGTTTCTAACCTATCCAACAATCTCTTTCGAGTAGAATTGAACCTATCCTAGTATACCATTTGACTATATTTCTATGACAAATGCAATATATAAGGATGCATGTAGTTTTGTAAACACTTAGAGATTCACGTAATGCATATCGGTATATTTCTATCCTCTATGAACAAAACGACGATTTATACCTTGTTGAATTTATTTCCCTTCTTTCGAATGCATGAAATAAACCACCTAAACTCACACAATTATCGTGCACTATAATCACGGAGACAAGAAGTGTATATAAATCATTCAAAAATCATCAAACGTGTTTAATTATCAAATTGCAAAATAGAGATAAAGAGATCACAATGCGAGGTTCATCGTTCTCCTAGTACATAAAAAGTCTAGCCTAGCATAATGAAATTAAAACAACAATAAAAGTAATAAAAAGAAAACATCACCAAATAACTAGAAGTTAAAGGTTGAATCTTGGATCTTGAAGTGAAACCCTTGTTCTTGCCCCTTCTCCTTGCTCTTCCATGGTGTTTTCTCCCTAAGAATGCATAAAAACCTAGTTCTGGACGAGTTTTGGGTTAAATAGGATCTCCAAATATCATTCCATAAGTGGTTGGATCGAATAAGGAAACTAAAAATTTTCTCGCACAGAATACACCTTGCGATCGCAAGGAGTATCCTCATGCGATCGCAAGGAACAACCAATTTGCCCGAAAAAAGGACCTGTTGAAGTCTGGGCAATCGCGTGGTTTTTATACCATGAGATCGCATGGTTTACCCTCCGGACTGCCTTCGATATTTTGATCATATCTTTCTCTCCCGATATCCAATTGAGGTGATTCAAAATGCATTAGAAAGCTTACTTAAAGGCCTACGAATATTTCAGAAATATCAGTCTTCAAATTCGAACATATTCTATGTCAAAAATGGGTCTCAAACTAAGACTGACAATTCAAAACATAACTTTTTTCGGCTGGGAGTTGATTTGTGATAGTGCTTCGACTCTATTTCATCCATTTGGCTTCTTTCCTCATCCAATTGATGCCCAACACTCTCAAATATTCATCGTGAGATCGATATAACTTTTCAGTATTTGCAATTGAGTCCTTGAACTTCCGTTTTCCTCCATTTTGGTCTTTTTCGCTCGTTTTCGCATACATTTCATTTCATCCATCAATGTAGTCCTACAAACACAATTTCTTTAGAATTAAGCCATATTCAAGCATTTATGTCAACAATCAATTATATTTTGTGTTATAATTAAGTGTGCAAAACGCACTTATCAGCCAGCATTGAATGTTTCTGACAAGAGCAGCTGATTTGACCGTTTAAGTCCTGCCACGTGTCCCATCAGTCGGTGACTTAACTTTGGAAGGATCTTAATTTATACAAGAGATCTTTGATGAAGCGAAGCAAGGCAAGGCAAGGCAGGTGAGGCATTGCATCGTTCTAGAAGCGGAGTGCGGGCATTTGCATCCGCGATGTGTTGGCGGATGAGTCTGGTTCGTTCGCTGGCGCCTATTCAGTTTGTTCCTTACGTAATCACTTCGGCATGCACAGCCAGCTCGTCCCATAAGGTAATCACCTCGGCCCAAGTGTCGGGTGTGTGGGCCATCTCCAATGACACATGGCGTCGAGGTGGAGGGTCGACACAGTCCCGTAACAGGATGCAAATTGTTTCATTTCAGCAGCATGTTTTAATACAATACTGAAGCATACCACAGTTGAAAGTAATAAAATAAAAAGACCAAAATATTCCCGCAACTAAAATCAAATGGCTCACTGAATTATTCTCAATAGAAATAAATACTTTTAGTCACTGATAAGAGCCACAGCACTTACTGGAGTCATTTCATTAGTTTCTTCGCTACGCTCAGTTCAAATATACAGTTAGGCATTAATGAAAGCAATTATGCAAAACCCCATAAAGTGAAATCCAAAATCTTCGAGAAAAATGGAATCTATATCATCAATTCAAAACATACCTTTGGCTCTTCCTTTAAAAATTCCACAAAATCAACATACGCCTTTTCCTTTGATTATTTCAGAGTTCTCGAGGTATAAAATTGTTCAACAAAAAGAATATTGGAGTCATTTCATTAGTTTCTTCGCTACGCTCAGTTCAAATATACAATTAGGCATTAATGAGAGCAATTATGCAAAACCCCATAAAGTGAAATGCAAAATCTTCGAGAAAAATGGAATCTATATCATCAATTCAAAACATACCTTTGGCTCTTCCTTTAAAAATTCCGCAAAATCAACATACGCCTTTTCCTTTGATTATTTCAGAGTTCTCGAGGTATAAAATCGTTCAACAAAAATAACTTTTCTTCATTGTTTTGTCCACCGAGTTGTTCAAATGCTGTTCAAGGAAAATATCGTCCTTGAATGGGTAGTGAAGGGAACTGCCGAACAGGTGTTGGGATTGCTAATGGCTTGGGGGTTTCATCTTGTATCTCTTTGGATTCTCTTCATCTTTGAAGTCGGAGAATTGGGAATGAAGGATTTGTTCTACGATTGTATTGGGCCCATTTCAAATTTTTTTTCTTTACTTGGGTTGTGGGGTGGCCCAAAGTTCAGTGCAGGCATGCACAGGGTCTGCCCCTGGGTAGGATGTCTGAACTAGCTTTGTTCTCACAAGATCTCCAAATGAAAGAAAACTTCCATAATTAAGTAGCAGACCATACTAAATTAGCCAAATATTTATATTATCTGTAGAAATTGCTAAGAACTCCTTGAATTAGTATAAGGCTGACTTTTTTTACGTGCTTCATACAAAACGAATTTCAACTCTTTCATAATGATAAGTGGTAATATTTAGTAACAAATTTGTTATATTATAAAATGTATAACAGATATTGTTAGTTATGATTAAAAAAATTTATGGGTTGAAGTTCCACTTAAGAAGTAATTATCTTTTGATCTTCATAACATCTCAAACTTTCCTTGTTGCGAACATATTATCTGATGATTAGTGCAGATACTAAAGTGTTACTTGCAAAAGCTTGTGAGACTTTCATACCGAAGCACACACTTCGTGCACGGATGAACACTGAAGATAACTGTAATGCCACATGCTTGTTTCTCACAATTATCATGTCTATCTAGATTTTATATAGTAAATCGTACAAGATATTTTGTAAGTTTTATGTTGCTTTCGTTCAACATAGCTTGATGGCATGACATTGTTCAATAAGATTATTCTAATCAATCAACGGCAGAAAAAAACTATTGCCAGGGTTATAACATAGAAATAGGTTGACGAGTAGTGTGGATACTGGTGCTGTTAATCTCTTCATTGAAAAACAAACATTTTACATCCATCATTATTCAAAGTATCAGCTCCATGAAATAACGAATTACTTTCGTTTCTACATCGTACTTCGGTTACATGCGTGTGAATTAATAACATTAAATTGCTTAATTCTGTGTTATCAACATTTTCTTCTACACCAGATTCTTGAGTCCACTCAACCTCCTCCCATTAAAAGGGAGAATAAAAGGATTTCTTTTCTTTTTACTTATTGAAGAAATTACAAGCAATATCCACTTTCACATGATCATTCGTAAAAATGTCCAAAATTTGTTCAATGTTCATTTTGCATTAATTTAGACCAAAATATCACTATTAATAATTTATTATTTCATACTAAAGATCAAAATGTGCATACAATTAAAAATTTTGTTGGTCAATCAAATTTTGACACATAACTCACCCTATTTATTTCAAAAGTACACATGTCAAATCACAATAAATGTTATTTTTCTCATTGACACAAGTATTAAACGTCGATAACTACATTTCAAATATATGGCTATCATGCAAATAATATGATATGATATGAGCTCTCACCTAAAATTTTAAAAATATAAGGGAAAATTGTAGTCACGGTACCAAACATTTTACTTTTTTGCAGACTTTGTCCAAACCTTTCATTTGTGACACCCACGGTACCAAACCTTTAAACAATTCGCACCCGGAGTCCAAATTGACAAAAACCAAGTTGTCCAATAATTAAATGTCTGATCAATTGTTGACCAATTTATAAAGGGTAAATATGTAATTTTTCGTTTTTCATATGACAAAAATTAGAATTAAAGAATTAAAAACCCCAAGCTACTACTGTTCATCTTCTCCCACCCCCCTCTTCCCTTCCCCCACCCCTGCCGCCGCCACATTACCCACCACCACAACCTCCGACATCACCCACCATTCAGGTACCTAATAAAAGCTCCATCTTCAAAATATAGATTTTCATATGACAATAAGATGTTGATAACATGGAGATAATTGCGGAAGATTAAACTTCCCAATCCCGCTCTGATCCCAAATCGAGCCTAAGCATGACGGAATTAATGGCCATTCCATCATTTTATTTTTTATTTCCTGAATGCGCCCTGTGGTAAGCTTTCGCGGCTTCGATGGCGGTGTCAAACGTTCCGAGCCAAAGGCGAGAGCCACGCCATTTCGGATCCCTAATTTCCGCAGCGTACTTTTCCCACGACCGCTGTCGTACCCCTTTATAATGACACTTCTCCTCCACAACCGAGTTGTCTTGCACCGTCGTCGCCGAGTTCGACCGAGACGACTTTGAGAAGTCGATCCAGACTAATTTCTTCACCGCCGGCAATTCAATTTGCAGTGAAGGCTTCCTCTTAGTCAAATTTTTCGCCTTGGGTAATGTGAGGTCTATAATTGGAGTGTTTAGATGATTTTGCCCCAAATCTACGAATTCTGGGCTTGAAAACTCTCTAAAATCAAATTGATTCTGCTCACAGTTCATGAAATAATCAAAAATCGATAAAATGGGGTTATTGAGTGATTAAGGATATTGGGATTACCTGAATGGTGGGTATTTTGAAGATGGAGCTTTTATTGGGTACCTGAATGGTGGGTGATGGCGGAGGTTGTGGTGGTGAATGGTGGTGGTGGGTGATGGCGGAGGTGGCGGGAAAGGGAAGGGGGAGAAGATGAACAGTAGTAGCTTGGGTTTTTAAATTCTTTAATTTTAATTTTTTTCATTGAAAAAGGAAAAATTACATATTTACCCTTTATAAATTGGTCAGACATTTAATTATTGGTCAACTAATGGTCAAACTAACGATTTCTGTCAATTTGGACTCCGGGTACGAATTGTTTAAATGTTTGGTACCGTGGATGGTACAAATGAAAAGTTTGGGCAAAGTCTGCAAAAAAATGAAAGGCTTGGTACCGTGATTGCAATTTTCCCAAAATATAATGTGACGGTATAACTATTTTGTTATACGAATTGATATATATTATTTGGGTTTGCATAAACACTCGTTATCAATTGAATATTCTCATATACTCATTCCCTTTTCCTTGTTAGTACTGTCACGTATGATGGTGCAATTGTGCCTTAATTCTTTGGAAATCTGAAAAGTGAAGTTATAATGTTGTTGTTTTTCACTCGTTTTGATTTTATGGTTATCTGTAGGACTGTAGGATTTAGAACTTCTATTTTCCTTATTAATAGGCTGCCATCATAGTACAAACTCAGCCCACTGTTTGCATTTTGATGATGGGAAAAATTCATGGTTCAGAGATTTACTTTTAGGAAATCAAAAATCAGGTCCCAATGTTTAAAATTGCAAAAATCAGGTTTTTTTAAATTAATTAATTATATTTCATAATTATTATATTAAATTAAATATTTAACTATAATATAATATAATTAACCCTACCCCACCAAACTCCATCTCCACCACCCCCATTGCTCC